CACCCACATCCACACCCTGTTTTCTAGTTTTGTTGTAGTCCTAAAAATTCAAAAACTAAACATCATTATCTGCCAGAATCAAACTGACGAATCATAGAAAACTATGATGTAGCACTCATATATATATATATATATCGTAAACATCCCATTAATCATTATTTCAATGATATCTTGACTCAAGAGTTGAACTCAAGGGTATTGAATTTGAAATATGACATCATTAACTCTGAGATAAAAGCAGCTCGATATGACGTTTATCTCTTCTAGTAATATGAATCATTTTGACGTCATCTATTATCAGTTTGAAAATAAATGCTGATTCATCTTGATGTCATCAAATAAAGATAACTATAAAGTTCGTGCTTTAAAATCAAAATGAAACATATATATTAAGAAAGAGATAAACAAACCTTCGATATGTAATATTTCTAAACAAAATATGGATAAGTAACTGAGGACATATATGCAAGTAAGTAGATCTGCATACTTTCTTATATATATTATACTGAGTTTTAATAAATTGATTAGAGAAATATAAAATACTGCATTTGTATTCATTCGTTATTGTAAAGAAAAACAATAAAGTTAAACTGACGTTCGTAGCTGAGAAAGTACTTTTTTTGATAAAGTTTTTGAGAGTTAAAATGATGCGCTTACTGAATTTATGTAAGAAAGAGAGAAAAATTAATAAAAAATTGGAAATCGATTTTCGTTTATCTTGTATAAATTATAAGTGCTCTAAAACAATGATTGAACTAAATACAGTTTTTCACCAGTTCAATATTCTTTTCAACAAAACTTCTATAAAAAAACCATTGATTGTAACATAAATATTCATTTCATGTAAACTATATTCCAAATCAAATTCAACTTAGTTCAATTCTACTGGAATAAACTAATTTTCTTTTAAGTAGATATTACGAATCATGTCCTCACTGTAAGAATAGATTTATTAATGCGATTCTAAATTTCTTTACATAGAAGTAAAAAAGAGGATTTCTACTTTCAATAACAAACCCAGAACAAATCGTTGAAATCTGACTAGTCATTTGTTTTTTTTTAATATATCATTTATGCTCAACTGAATAACAAAAAAATCATCCATACTTTGACAATGCATATTTAAAACTTGTTAATGTTATCCATCAGAGATTAAAATCTTTATTACAAAATAGTCGTCTTTATTGATATTTAGATCATGGTTCAAGTCATACTTAGTTTTGGAGACATTTTCATATCATACATTTGCTCTTTCATTTACTAAACACAATAAAGAGAGGACTGTGGTACTCGTGATTTTTATTTAACATACAAATCGAGATGACGTAATAACACAGTATGAAATCATTCGTAAAATAGAAGTAGCATGTCAACGAAGATACGTGTACTACTTAGGATCCTTTTCCACATTTCTTTCTCAAATTAACTTTCTTTGAAATCCGTTCTGATCAGATGATTATGTTTCGCATTTTTTGTATTGAACAATAAGAATAGTAAATTTCCTTGTTTTTCATTATCGTTTAAGATACATCAGTTATTTAGCGAATACATCTTTTTTCATCAATGTCTATAAATTCCGATGAGATCGATGGCAAATTGGTGTCTGATTATAAAAAAACGTTTAGTCAGACGATTCGACATGCAGGTGGTGATATGAACATTCGACTTCAACCAGATCGATCATTGTACGATGAACTGGAACAACGAAACCTATTACAACGTCCACGACCACCAGCTGGTCTGGGCCTTAATCTCATTCAAGATGGTCAACTCGGTTTAGCTATGTTCAATCGCAGTCCTAAATTTCTTGCATCAGGTCGATATACTTTCTTTTCTCCATTTGATCATCTAATCAATGTGACTAGTATTACCGATAAACTTATTACACTGGGCAATATTCAAATTGTGACAATAAATCAGGGTGAACTAGGTTTGAGTCTACGAAATGGAGAAAGTATTTTACTCGATCCTGGTCGTTACATATTGACAGCACCACATATCTTTGTCAAGAGTACTCCAGCTAATGCTCAGTATATTGAATTAGGAACATATCGTCGAATAACTGTTCCTGTTGGATTCGTTGCTGTAGCATTTGATATTGGTAAACAAATCATCATTCGACCTGAAGATACTGAATCAGGACCATTTGAAACAAATTCACCCACTTTTCTATTCGATAAAAAGACTGGTTTTCAATCTGTACAACTTCAAGTCAGAGAACTTGATCAACTGACAGTCAACACTCGAGATGGCATCACCATAACAGCGAAAGGTCTTATTACTTATCGAATTCATGATCCAAGAATAGCATTCATGACTGTTCAAGATATACATGAAGCAGTCAAACGAGCAGCGGAAGCCACACTTACTTCACTCTTTCTCAATGCAGCAATAGATGAGATAGCTCCACCAGTTCCAGAAAAAAAAATAGACAAAGATCTGATCAATCTTAAATCGACTGTTGAAGAAGAGAATTTTAATCAACATATTCGTGATGCATTTCTTCATGATTTTTCTCACAAAGTTCGTCATTGGGGTGTTGAACTACAAGATTTGAACATTGAAAAGCTTGAATTCGATAATAGTGTCAAAGATTTATTGCGAAAACGTGCACAAGCTCGTGTTGAAACAGCAACGAGTCTTGCTAATATGCGTTCTCAAACAGAGATTGCTATGCAACAAGCCGATCGAGAAAAACAACAAGCTCAAATTCGAGCTGAAGCTGAAGCATTTGTTATACGGACAAAAGCTGACGCTGATTTCTATGCAGCTGAACGACATGCACAAGCAGCAAAAGTCTTACAAGAAGTACCACTATCAGCTCAACTCGAACTTAAACGACTTGATGTCGAAATGATCAAAGCAACAGGTGATCGAACAACATTTATTCCAGTGAACCTACATATAGGAGATATTGGGATGGTTGATAAACAAAATAACAAAATGTACTGGGCATCAAATAACGTCACGAACTGATACAGACATTTGCAGTCAAAACACTTCACTTTGTTTATAATTTAAATCCATGAGAAATATATCGAATATTTTAATGGATTGATTTCACTATTTCACCATTAATTTTTTTCAATTTGACTTGGGTGTGGGTCTCGGTGGGTATGGATTGGTGTGGGTGTTGGTATGAGTGTGAGTGTGAGTGTGAGTGTGAGTGTGAGTGTGAATGTAGGTGTGCGTGAGGCGTGTGGATGTCATAGCAAAAAAGACGTGCACTCACACTCACACGCACACCCACACACCTACACCTTCGTCCATCCACACCCACACCCTGCGAACTTTACATTTTGATATCAAAGAGCTTAATTCATGTACATGTCTTTGCCTTGTGGTTAAGCAAAACTTGAGTGAAATATTTTCCGATGTTACAATATAGAGCATTTTTTGGTACACAATGTTACAGTTTTACTTTGCTAGTTAAAGAACTATAAAGTTTTATGTCAATTAATAGCAAAATTTTATCAAGATCGTCTCAAGTAGAATAGCTTACATTATTGAAATTAAGAGTGTTTAGCGGGCATCGTCAGTTATCGAAAAGACACGCTGTTCTCTATGTATTGCGTCAATATATTTTGGAAATTTTGCCTCATATGTGATTTCTCGATACTCATCTGCTAAGCCTTAATTGTTCCTCTAGATAAGTAAGCTCGAAAGATTTAACATTCCTTCCAGTGAGATATAAGTATTGCAGCTCGATCTGCAAGTCAACAATTTATAGATAATGAGCTCATCTTCTAGCATAAAAGTGTCACATCATGCACGACAAAGAAGTCATCAGTATAGTATAAAGAAAACTTGGTGCACTTAGCTGATAATTGATGATGCCCACTAAATAGTCTTAATTCCAGCACTACAAATAATTATAG